TGGACGATCACAGGGAAGAGCTAACCACTGAAGAGCAGCAAGACCTTCAACTGGAACAGCAACAGATCGCAGCTGAGGAAATTGCTTCAGAGGAGGAAGAGAGAGGAGAGAATGTGCCTTCTTCAGTGATTAAGGACATTTGTGCAAAGTGGAGCAAGGTGCATAGTTTTGTGGAGAATTATCACCCTAACAAAACTGTTGCAAGCTGTGTCTGCAACATGTTCAGTGACAATGCCTTGACCCATTTTAGACAAATCTTAAAGAAATGCCAGAAGCAGAGCTCTCTGGACAGATTTTTTGTGAGACAGGGGTAAAGTGACTCTCAAGCTGGTCCTAGTGCCAGTAAAAGACAAAGAAGGGAAGTAACCCCAGATAGGGCTTTGATACCTGAAGTCCTTATGGAGGAGGATTCCCCTTCCAAACAATAACCTCTCCTCCCTTCCCCCTCCTTGTCTTCTTTCATATGCCAACAAGTGGCTTATATACTGTAGTCAGGTGAGTCAAAGCAGGAGGAGGTGGGATCACAGTGAAATCATCCACTAGTGTAAGTAGGTATTCGTCCAAAGGTTGGACAACCTTTTGATGAAGACTTACACTGGAAATAAATGGTATAAAATACCGACACAATGGAAATATAAACACATATGCAGTATAATGTGATCCTTTATTGACTACGTTTCGCCCACACAGTGGGCTTTTTCAAGTCACAAACAGAACTACCTGGGGTGGAAGGAACGCGAGTATTTATAGTCAGGTTCAGAGTGCTGAGGTCAGGTGGAGAATGCTGCATCTGATGATGTACCGAGTGGGGTTATAGAGTCTAAAATCTTGGGTAGCTTGGAAAGGAGATTGGACAAGTTTGTGAGCAGACCTTCTACAGTGTTCTTATGTGGGATAGCGATGAAGAAGCTTCTTGGCAAGTGGTTCAGCTATGTTAAAAGCCCACTGTGTGGGCGAAACGTAGTCAATAAAGGATCACATTATACTGCATATGTGTTTATATTTCCAAGACTTACACTAGTGGATGATTCCACTGTGATCCTGCCTCCTGCTTCGAGTCACCTGACTACAGTACGTACATATGTAAGCCACTTCTCCGGCCATATGCTGTACTTTCTACAAGAGTGATGACTGAACACATCGATTCCAGGCTGAGGGACTGATTACCTCAAACTCCTCCTCTCCATACCCATTTTTACTTTGTATTGTACTGATGAAGCCACTGTGTGGTGAAACATATCTGTAATAAAGATTCCCTTATGTTGCATAAGTGTCTCAATCTTCAACTTGTCAGTTTTCAAACCATTTGTCACTCATTACTTACCTTAAAATATTTGTAGTCTTAATGTAAGTTGAGAGGTGAATAGTATTTATTTGTAGAAAATCAGGTGTGGTAGGTATGGCAGCCCATCTGGCCACCCTGCTCACATGTAATATACAGTGGACCCCCGCTTAACGATCACCTCCAAATGCGACCAATTATGTAAGTGTATTTATGTAAGTGCGTTTGTATGTGTATGTTTGACGGTCTGAAATGGACTAACGTACTTCACAATATTCCTTATGGGAAAAAATTCGGTCAGTACTGGCACCTGAACATAATTCTGGAATGAAAAAATATCGTTAACCGGGGGTCCACTGTACTACATTTAAAGCACCCTAGAGCAATAAAATGCTTATAGTACAGTACACTCATTACTTACCTTAAAATATTTTAGTCTGCCTGAAATGCCTTAGCATTATTATTATTATTATTATTATTATTATTATTATTATTATTATTATTATTATTATTATTATTATTATTATAATGTAGGGTGACAGGTGAGTAAACAAGATAAAAAATAAATGAGAGTGAGAGAACTAATAAATGAGAGAGGACGGAGCCGCAGAGTATGTAAACACGCAGATAAACGTGGCTGCTGGATTGATACACTTTCATTTGCATATCTGTAAAGCTTATATCATAATACAAACACCTTACACTGTGTATAAGTTGTGTCCACATTGGTGCAGTAAAATAAATAAAGAGGAACACTCCCATTCTCATGTAACACTGTTTTTGAAAGGAATGACGCTCTGAGTGAAGGCATACGAAAGGAATAATTTTATACAATTACCCCCAGTAATACTATTATGTACACATTTTCTTTGGTGTTGGACTAGAGAAAATGTTATTCTTTTCAACACTCCAACAAGACGATTGGAAAAAATCCCATATTTTATGTTAATTTGTTCTATTGTGGGTGTGTTTATCATGTTTATATGTTATGTAGCGTGTTTATTATATAATTTTGAAAAAAATATCAGATGGATTAAGCAAATTGTCTATATTAACGTTTTATACGACATTTAATGCACCTCAGAATGATTATTATTGTGCGTTATTATTATTACAGCCTCTCCTCACTTAACGATGGAGTTCCGTTCCTAAGACCACGTCGTTAAATGAATTCATCACTAAGTGAGGAGCATACTAAAATGGTAGTGAGTTTGCGTCAACCATCTTTGGCATTGTTTTAATGTCACCTTTGCACCATTTATAATTTTCTGGTATATTTTTAAATGTTTATACAGTAGTGTACAGGTCCTCCATCACAAATCCGGCATCATTGGGACCTGTAGTGTGCCGGATTACTGAGTTTGCTGGATTGCAGAGTGGTTAGGTTAGAATACACTTAATAAAATTAACCAACTTGACTTACACAGTTCATTGAACATTGGCAAAAATCGAACATTTCCGCTACTTTGAGCTCAATTTCAAGGTACTTTTTGTACCTTGAAATCATGTCTATTTCTGTAATATATCTTCCATTCTATCAAATGAGTCCAAAAAAATGAGAATACAACCATAAAAACCATACGAAAATATACTGCAAAGAGGCAGCTAATGGCCAAGAAGTTAACTCCCTTATTTATCGTCCATCTTTTTTTATTTTTATTGTACGTTAAGAAGCATCTTTCCATCATACATTGCCCAAGTCTCAATGAGATAGCCCAACAAACAACTGAGAGAAAACAAATATTTACCAAAAATCATATATGACAAGCCTAAGCCAGGTACTGGAAATAAGTCACTTTGTCTGACTTTTCTGGGTTATCCTAGGTTCTCTATACATACACTGCTATGTATGATAATCTATGTAACTATTTGTGTATACCTGAATAAACTTACTTATTTACTTACTTCTAGTCTGTTGACTGAGTACAAGAAACCGCCCAGTCACTTTTTTCAACTACCCAATAAAGTGGTCAGAAACTGGCAATTTGGTCGATTTCACACAAATTTCAACAGATGCCAATTTCAAAATAGGATCTAGAATAAACAATGTAGACATTCCTGGCACTAAAATAACATATTCTCTGTTCATTAGTGACGGCTACAGGCTCCTCTTATATTACTCTTGCTTTTCATTTGGAATTTTAATTCACAAAAAAATAGAAGATTTACTGTTATGCAGACTGCTGCATTATTGTAATAATTGTATAAATAATGTCAACCCATTCTTGACTGCGTACTGGACTGGCAGGTGGACAGGTATTGGACGGTGACGTCATTTGTTTGCTTTTGAGCTTCGCTAAAGAATAGAACTTTTTTGCTACTGTGAGCGCAATTTCAAGGTACTTTTCATCATGAAAGCAATCAAATTCATATCTATTTCTGTAATATATCTTTCATTCTATCAAATGAGACCGAAAAAATGAGAATATAACCATAACAACCATACAAAAATGTACCGCTAAGCGGCCGCTAATGGCTGAGAAGTGAACTCCGCTATTTATGGTCTGATTTCTTTCATTTTTGGTGTACGTGAAGAAGTATCTTTCCATCATACATTGCCCAAGTTTGAATAAGATAATCCAACAAACAACTGAGAAAATAATAATAATAATAATAATAATAATAATAATAATAATAATATCTTTATTTACTACACGTACAAGGTATACAGGCCTAGCTGACATCAATGACATACTACTGTATAGAAAGCTGCTTGTTATGCAGAGTATTTCAAGAAAATTAGGTCAGTGTCCCAGGATAACACCCACACCAGTCAACTAACACCCAGGTACCCATTTACTGATGGGTAAACATAGAAACAGGTGTAAAGAAACACGCCTAATGTTTCTACCCTGGCTGGGAATCGAATATTTACCAAAAATCATTTATGGCTAACCCAAGCCAGGTACTGAAAATAAGCCACGTTGACTTTTATTGGGTTATCCGAGGTTCTCTACACATATGCTGCTATGTGTGAAAATCTATAGAGAGAAAATAACTTTTTTGTTTCAGGTTTATGGTGCAGTAAGAGTGTATATCACAGTTAGCCCTGTGCTACACTCCGTTTTCTCTAATATAAGCCACCAAGACAGGGATAGGAGAATGGTATCTGTATACCATATCCTCTTCATACCTCTGTCGAACTGCTCGATGTTATGCCAAATATTATTCATTCTGGAGTATTTAACATGTTTTATGTTATTTATGTTGTTTCTTATGTCATATTAGATCAATTGTGATAGGCAAATAAGCTGTAGTGTTGATATTAGCGTAATAATAAAGCATATTCTCCTGCTTCATGAGACTGAGCTCATGGCAACCAACAGTGGCTTCACAGCCACCTTATCTTTAATGGATAATGTACTGTGTAGGTGCTTTACATAATGAGAAGCATTTCTTTTATTCATTGGAACCATGGCTAGGGCTAAAAGTAAGCAGGTTAAAACAATAAATGGAGAAAAAGAAATTGGAATGACTTATGCAGCAAGTAGCGCCACCAAACAGTACCAGCAGGTTGGTGTGGCGACCCTGGAAATTTGAAATTATGCTAGCCAAAATTAGTGTTAAATAACTGAAAGAACCGAATAACTGATTGCCAGATTTGTGATGGCGGACCTGTACTGTGTATTGAAATAAAGAGAATAGAGAAAATCAGCTCAAATATACATTTAGTATGAATACTGGTCATAGAGCCCGTCAAAGTCCGAGGCGTTGGTAAATGAGTACGTTGCTAAGTGAGGAGAGACTGTATCATTATTAACCCTTTCAGGGTCCAGAGGTCAAATCTCAGAGTGACAGCCAGGGTTCAAGAATTTTTTTGCTATTTTTTCTTATGAAATGGTAGAGAATCTTTTTCTGATGATAATAAAGTAAAAAGTATGAAATTTGATGGAAAATTTACGAAATTATGCTCTTGCGAATTTTGATGCATCAGCGATATTTACGCTTTGGCGATTTTGCTGACTTTGACTCCCATATTAGGCCAATTACATTATTCCAGTTGACCAAATTTGCTAGAATTACTTCCATTTTATCAACTGAGCACAAGAAATCGCCCAGTCAACTGTTTCAACTACCCAATAAAGCGATCAGAAATTCAAAGTCATAGAACTACGGGACGGACCCTCAGTGGCTTAAATACCATGGCTTTCTAACACTTAGAAATCATTTATTTACAAAACAGTATCTAAAAAATACTAATTAGGCTTCCAGTTTGATATAAGAACAGTTCTATCCCAAATATTTAATTGCAATATAATTTTGAGAAAAATATATCTTATGGTATTTTAATACAGTATAAGATATTGTGATTCCCAAGATTTTTATGTGCTGTTATCCACTACTGCACTTTTTCTTTTATATAAACAAAAGTAATATAACTTATATTTTGCAAAATTTAATTTGAATAAAGTTATTTGTTATTATGTTGCAGAGGTCTTGGAGTATTGCGAGTTGGTTGGCATCGAAGCAGTGAAGGAGCCACACTTAGTGCCCTTGGCAAGAGCTGCTCTACTGCACCCCTTGCCTCCACCGTGGACACCTGTGTGAGTACTACCATGTAACAGCACATGGTATAGTAATACCTATGAGTTGTAGGTATTAAAAAGAGAAGCAGTAATTATAAACTTTCTTCAGACATTATTTTGCCTGCTTCAATAAATGTCTTGATTGTGCACATGTATCTCTATTACTTCACTAGGGATATCAATGAGTGAGGTGCAGGACATCAAGGCCTCCGCACACTTATGCCACACCCTCCCCCTCATGCAATTATCCTTACTAGTCACTTCCCACACTATATACCTAGGTGCCTGATACCCTCACCATAATAGTAAGGGAGAAGTTAGCATATGTTAAGAATCTTAAGTTAGATACAATGCAGGAGAGGGTGAGAGGGAATTGAAGAGTGGGATGTAGTTTTGCTGCTGCCTGCCTCTACACAGTTGTCATTCCATTCTCCTCACACCATACACTCAACCATAGCAGTGAAGAAGTGGTTACCTTATGTAATGAGCATTGTGTCAAATTTCACGCGTGAGAAGGTGGGAGTGAATAGGGGAGTGAGAACGAGAATGAGGGTAAACAGTCTGGGTGCTGCTTCCTCCTACATGGCTACTTTACTGTATACAGTGTTGTAACTCTTATGATTAGGGTTTGTTAAGGTGGTTTGGGCGTGGTGGATGGAGAGAGATGGGTTGATGAAGAGGGTGTATAAATCTTGGGTGGAAGGTAGGAGTTATCCTAGGAACATTGAGAGGGAGGAGGTAAAGAGGCTTTTGAGTTTTAAGTGCCTGAGCATCCAAAACTTGTGTGAGTATATTAGATAAAAGTGAACGGAGACAAGTGGTATTTAATGGATGTGCTGTTGGAGTGTAAGCAAGATAACTTTTATGAAGGAATTAAGGAAAATCAGTTAGCCAGAATTAATGTCCTGGAGGAGGGCAGTGCCTGCACTCTGAATGATGGGTTGGGAAGCTGTAGTCAGAGATAATCTGAACTGAGATGTCAGCACACTTCTGGGAAGACAATAAATGAGTGAATGATGGTGACTTTGTTTTCTTTTTTGAGTCATCTTATCTTGGTGGGAGATGGCTGTTGAGGCAAAAAAAAAAAAAAAAAAAAGTAAACAATCAATTTGTAAATTAAAATAAAATGACAAGGTTTAAGAAAGTTCCAGGCCCATTGAAAGTATTTGTGTTAGGCAGAAGGTCCCTGCCCACTGCAGTACAGTAGGGCCCCACTTATATGGCAGGTTAGGTTCCAGGCTTCTGCCGTAAAGTGGAACACCCTTTTTTTTCCACTTATAAATGCATAGAAATACTAGATAACAAGTTTACACTAACATATATTAAGTTAGCAATAGAACTTGGCATTAAAAACCAATAAAAAAGTAAAATACACATACAGTGGAACCTCAAAAATCGAACTTAATCCGTTCCAGGAGCTAGTTCTAAATTCGAAAAGTCTGAAATTCGAAGCAATATTTCCCATAAGAAATAATGGAAATACAATTAATCTGTTCCAGAAACCCAAAAATATTCACACAAAAAATACATTTTATAGAGATTAATTACAGTTTTACATACAACAAATACTATAGTTTTTAATTATGTATTACCTGGAGTTTACCTGGAGGGAGTTCCGGGGGTCAAAGCCCCTGCGGCCTGGTCTGTGACCAGGCCTCCTGGTGGATCAGAGCCTGATCAACCAGGCTGTTACTGCTGGCTGCACGCAAACCAACGTACGAGCCACAGCCCGGCTGGTCAGGTACCGACTTTAGGTGCTTGTCCAGTGCCAGCTTGAAGACTGCCAGGGGTCTATTGGTAATCCCCCTTATGTATGCTGGGAGGCAGTTGAACAGTCTCGGGCCCCTGACACTTATTGTATGGTCTCTTAACGTGCTAGTGACACCCTGCTTTTCATTGGGGGGATGTTGCATCGTCTGCCAAGTCTTTTGCTTTCGTAGTGAGTGATTTTCGTGTGCAAGTTCGGTACTAGTCCCTCTAGGATTTTCCAGGTGTATATAATCATGTATCTCTCCCGCCTGCGTTCCAGGGAATACAGGTTCAGGAACCTCAAGCGCTCCCAGTAATTGAGGTGTTTTATCTCCGTTATGCGTGCCGTCTAGGTTCTCTGTACATTTTCTAGGTCAGCAATTTCACCAGCCTTGAAAGGTGCTGTTAGTGTGCAGCAATATTCCAGCCTAGATAGAACAAGTGACCTGAAGAGTGTCATCATGGGCTTGGCATCCCTAGTATAGTAATACATATAAAATAAAATTTTTACTTACCTTTATTGAAGATTGGTGATGGCATCTGGAAGATAGGGAGGAGGAGAGAGGGAGTTGGGGTTAGTGTTTGGGAGGAGAATCCCCCTCCATGAGGACTTCAGGTAAAGCCCTCTCTGGGGTTACTTCCCTTCTCTGTCTTTTATTGCCACTAGGACCAGCTTGAGAGTCACTGGACCCTTGTCTCACAAAATAACTGTCCACAGTCCTCTGTTTCTGGTGCCTCTTTAACATATACCTAAAATGGGACATGGTTCTGTCACTGAACTTGTTCCAAAGATGGCTTGTTTCAGCTTGCTCAGGGTGGTACTTCTGCACAAACATTTGGACATCATTCCACTTGGCACAAATCTCCTTAATCTTTGAAGAAGGCACCTCATCCACTCCCTATATTAACACCTTTCGCAACATCAGCTTCCTTGATTTGTTCTTTCTTTGACAGGATAGAACCGATGGTCGACTTGTTTTTCCCATACATCCTGGCAAGTTCAACAAGTCTCACGCCACTCAAATACTTCTGTATTATTTCCTTCTTCACATCTATGGTGTTTCTCACTTTCTTTACCACAGGGGTACCACTAGCAAGTTTCTTTGGGCCCATGGCAGCTTATTTCACAGTCCCACAAGCACTAAACACAACGAAATAATCGTAAAATGCGTGAATGAGAGCGCAGGTTAGTAATCGTAAAATGCGTGAATGAGAGCGCAGGTTAGTGTTCACTCAAGCATAAACAAAGCTAGACTGCTCATGGCGCCTGCGTGGGGACGCGGACAGAGCAGGCGGCAGACAGGTCCCGTACCCGGCGGTCTGAAAATAGGGGAGTGTTCGATAATAGGGACACTGTCTGAAAAAATGGTCCTATTTTCGAAACGTTTGATATGTGATACGTTTGATTTTTGAGGTTCCACTGTATAGTAAACTTATTACTTACCTTAAAATACGTATTTGTAGTCTTAATCTAGGGTGAGGTGAATAGTATTTATTGTAAGAAAACAGGTGTGGTATGTATGGTAGCCAGCCAGGCCACCCCACACTTAAGCGTCCCAGAGCGATAAAATGCACATACAGTTCACTCATTACTTACCTTAAAATATTTGTAGTCTTAATGTAAGGTCAGAGGTGAGTAAACAAGATAAAACTAATAAATGAGAGAGAGAGGGAATGAATACATGAGAGAGGACAGGTCCAGAGTTATATAAACAAACCAGGCGAACACGTCTGGTTTGTGTACAAGTTACATTGTGTACAAGTTGTCTCTACGTTGATGCAGTAGAATAAATAAAGAGGAACACTCTGTTGCAACCCCTGAATGGGTCACAATGTATATAATGTATATTACCTTTTCATATAATTTTATATTGCTTATATTTGCGATAATAGCTAAATCATAAATATATTGCTTTATATTATTATTTGACTTAGTTATATTGTTAGGTAGGATGTAACATTCATATATTATTATTATGTGCTCATAGTTCAAGTCTTGATTGTCTAACTACTGTAATTATCGCTCGTGGCTCGTTACTCTGCTGGCTTCTCGGTGTTGCTGGGCAGCAACTGTCCACGGAGCTATCACGTGATCGAGGGGGGTGTACACACCTCGCCTGGAGTTACTGAGAAATGTGGAAAAATTTTCTCCAGGAGGGGGGTATCAACCCCCTTCAGCCCCTTCAGCCCTTTCAGCCCTGAGGGGCCCAGCCCTCTCAGAAGGGGCAAGCATCTTGTTTACTGCTACAGCGAGTAATTGATAGCAGATGCAGTATGAGTATGGGACGTGGTCAGGCGACCGCTGCTCCTTGCAGTCCAGTGTTGCAGAGTGTATTTTAATAAGAGACAGTACATCTCTTACCTTGGCAGGACAATTAAGGAAAATCCTGCTCCCACTTTATTACCATAGTAAAGATAGTGGACATTGTTGTCTATGCTTAAGACAGCAAGATTTAAACATTCTGCTTTGCTTCATCGAGGAAGTGGCAAGGAAGCAAAAAGTACTATGTCAGCTTTTCCTTTGTGCAAGGGGCAGTAACGGCGTGGGGTGCTGTGGCATGTTCAGATTACTTTTGACTCTACTGAGAGTGACACTGACGCCAGGATAACCAACAAAGAACGATCTGTGCGTTAGTGTGAACAAAGTGTCTCATAAAACACAATAAACACTTAAGAGAAGTGTGATCAGCTTCTTTAGTGATAAGATTGTGAACAATAAAGACAAATCTTGTGGAACATAGTGTACCAGTGTGCGTATTCCTAGACTATGGAAGACGTGGACATCCAAGGACACTTCAGCTTCTATCAAGTCACCGATATCTGTCGAAGGTGTGAAGAACACCATAGCTCACGCTACAAGAGCAAGGTAGGTTACAAATTTCTTGTAGTACGGGAGACTGCGCAGTTCTTGAGTCGCAAGGAGTTTGTAATCAACCTATAGTCGGCAGTAAGGGGCGGACCTTTGAGTCCACACAAGTAAGTTTGTCAGCCATCAGTAAATGAAATATGCTGACATAACACCCCCTAGGGGTAATTTATAATCTTACAAATTATAACTCTTTGCAGCCCATTGAGAGATGACTTCGACAGCTTTTCAAGACCTCGTCTGCAGGGGCGGCTGTGTAGACTATTCGCTGTCTTTTATCAGCTAAGTGTTCCCTATATTTATATTTATAAATTATATCTTAGTTGGTAAAGCCATTTCTCAACAAGAAATGGCATTACCAGTTAAGCTTAATTTTAAGTTTAAATATAGGGAACACTTAGCTGATAAAAGACAGCAAATCATCTACACAGCCGCCCCTGCGGACGAGGTTTGATTTGTTGTCATGATCATCTCTCAACGGGCTGTAATGAGTTATAATTTGTAAGATTATAAAAAAACCCTAGGGGGTGTAATGTCAGCATATTTCATTCACTGATGGCTGACAAACTTACTTGTGTGGACTCAAAAGTCCGCACCTTACTGCCGACTATAGGTTGATTACAAACTCCTTGCGACTCAAGAACTGCGCAGTCCCCTGTACTACAAGAAATTCGTAACCTACCTTGCTCTTGTAGCGTGAGCTATGGTGTTCTTCACACCTTCGACAGATATCGGTGACTTGATAGAAGCTGAAGTGTCCTTGGATGTCCACGTCTTCCATAGTCTAGGAATACGCACACTGGTACACTATGTTCCACAAGGTTTGTCTTTATTGTTCACAATCTTATCACTAAAGAAGCTGATCACACTTCTCTTAAGTGTTTATTGTGTTTTATGAGACACTTTGTTCACACTAACGCACAGATCGTACTTTGTTGGTTATCCTGGCATCAGTGTCACTCTCAGTAGAGTCAAAAGTAATCTGAAGATGCCACAACGCCCCACGCCGTCACTGCCCCCAGCATAAAGGAAAAGCTGACCTAGTACTTTTGCTTCCTTGCCACTTCCTCGATGAAGCAAAGCAGAATGTTTGTTTCTTGCTGTCTTAAGCATAGACAACAATGTCCACTATCTTTACTATGGTAATAAAGTGGGAGCAGGATTTACCTTAATTGTCCTGCTAAGGTAAGAGATGTACTGTCTCTTATTAAAATACACTCTGCAACACTGGACCGCACTGAGCGGCGGTCGCTTGACCACAGGTTGTATACTGGTACTGCATCTGGGATCAATTACTCTCTGTAGCAGTAAACGAGATATTTGCCCCTTCTGAGAGGGCTGGGACCCTCAGGGCTGAAAGGGGCTGAAAGGGGGCTGAAGGGGGCTGAAGGGGATTGATACCCCCCTCCTGGAGAAATTTCTCCATAGGAGTAGTCAGTCTGGGCTAGACTCTCTTGGCGGTTGGACATATTCCTGACAAGACGTGCCTAACTCTCCCTTATTGGCCCTTGTTGGAAGATTGTCTCTGTCGCTTTCTTGTTGGTTCTGTAGAACTGTTCACAGAACATTGTCTAGACTTAGTGATTTTAAACGTTGTACTGAGGTTGTGTGTCGAATAGACACTCTGAGCAACTCTGGTCCTGAGCTGTAGCTTCTGACCTAATTTGTACTGGTATCTGTATACTGTCACAGTCGGGGATTTTCTTATGCTGAACTTAGATTCAGTAGTATGGGAGTTTTGTGACTTTTGTGGAGGATCTGCTGATGGTCCCTACTTAGTGTCGTTATATTATCTCCTTGTTCCTGATTCTGTGTCGCAGTTGCTTGTTATATTTTTGTTCGGCTTATCAGTCATTTTATTGTTCAAGCAAGCTGTTCTGATTGCCAGGTGGTCAAGAAGTTAGTGGATGTGAGGACTTTGTCAGTCACTTGTTTAAGTCTAGTCGAGTCTTGACATAGCGAACTACTTAGAACGCTTACACACGTACACACACTTATTTGTATTATTAAATGTTAATATACCAGATGCTACTTAAGACTTATAAATGTGATATGAGCCTTCAGCACAATACTACTGTACACGAGAGAAGTGATTATTAATTTTATTTTGATTTTGATTAATTTAATTTACTTTGATCTTATACCTCTAGACGTTGTTAATAAATATATTAAATTTTAATTTTTCTAGTTAGTAGCCTACCAGTTGTAATCCTGAAGCACTAATAATTCTTATTGAATTCTAATGGATAATTGGACCAGGATACTGACTACTTGTTACGAAAAGCCAGTAACAGGCTGGATGCTAGAAGGGCAGTCCTTTCTAGTATTCACTGGAGATCTCTATGCTTATTAGAAATCGTGTTTTTTGTAACACACTCCCATTCTCATGTAACACCATTTTTAGAAGAAATGACGCTCTGAGTGAAGGCATAAGAAAGGAATAATTTTCTACCATTACCCCCAGTAACACATTTTCTCTTATGTTGGACTAGAGAAAACGTTATTCTTGCCGTCACTCATACAAGTCATCTGGCTACCACATCTCATATTTATGTTTGTTGATTCTACTGTGGGGTGTATTTATCATATTTATATGTTACATATCATGTTTATTATATAATTTTGAAAAAAATCTTATAGATGGATTAATGAAAATGTGTATATTAATGTAATATATGACATTAATGAGACTCAGTGATTATTATTGAGTATTATTATTATCATTACTAATATGGCATCTCGAGACATAAGACACTTAGTGATTTTAATGTGTACCTGCATGCCAGCACAGTGTGTAAGTTTATTTAGGTGCAGGTATACATAAGTATTATCAGAGTATATATAAAATGTGAAATAACTTTTAAAAACTTGAAATTTTGGTTTCCAGACATAATGGAAAGTCGTGGTGCTTACGGAGCTCACGGAGAATGTAAACAAACCAGGTGGGGCACGGTGACCGTATTAGAAAGTCAGGTGGGGGAGCCATATAGTGAGTTTTGGTCATAATTTGAAATGTCTGTATTAGCAGAACGCCGTAAAGCAAAATGCCGTAAAGTGGGGCCCTACCGTATATATAGTAGTGATGATTAAAATAAAAAATGTCAGTCCAAAGTAAGGCTGTAAGGTCACAAACCTTGTTTATGCCTTCAACACTGACTTATGACTGTGATCACAGCCCTACACATTTCTTTGGGAATAATTGTATCAGTGATCACTTTTTCTTACAGCATCTGACAGCATCTGATGTTCTAGTTTACTCTCAAGCAGTCAGGTAGAAATCACTTGAGCTTGTGAATGATTTTCTGATTGGTGACATTATTTGTATAAGGAATTCAAATTCCAGGGGCATTTAATATGCTGGACACATCTGCAGATGTCCCATCTTTGCACATGTTCTGCCATAATTTAAGGAGTATTGTGTTAATAGTCACACAGATTTCACTACTTTGACTGTTAACCCTTCTGTATTATCTGAGACTGATTTATCCTTAATTCTTAAAAGTCTGTTCCATTATAAGCCAAGACTTTTAAGAATTAAAGATAAATCAGTCTCAGAATCCAGCAGAATTTTTACAGCTTAGGTTTTAAACATAATCTCATATAAACTTGTGTAACATGCTCTGATATGCACATTTTAACCTTGTGCGACATGCTCCAAAATGCACTTTAGCATCATTATTAGATTCTAGTATTGGGGTCAAATTACTGTGTCTATTGTAGTGTGTGGTGTAAAATTTTTATTTAATTGTTAGTACAGTAATAAATTATTTGAGTGATCATCATAATTTTTACATTTTTCTTGGACAGAGAGGACAACCGCCTGGGACTGTACTACTTTAACCAGGTGACTGGGGAGAGTAGGTGGAGCCACCCTGTTGATGCTGTGGTCCGGGCCCTTGTTATCAGAGACAGGACCAGCACTGCTTCCCAAGGTATGTCTTGCTCTACAGTCTCTCTCAAGTTGTGGAAACTTATTTTGGGCTACCAGAATATTCCACGAAACATTTCACAGTGCTTGAGCTTTAAGAGCCCTTAACCCTTAACCTGTCCAAACGTAGATCTACGTTCACATGTGTAGCGCTCCGACCTTTATTTTCTCCATTTGAAAGCATGTAAAAAAAGTAGATCTTCATTTGGAGCGCTATGCATGTCAACTTGGATCTATGTTTGGAGAGTTAAAGGGTTAATATACCCACTTACATAACATTTGTACATAATATTTGTCCTAGGAAGATTTACGTAGTTACAAAGTAGAAAATGACTGTAGAAATTATTAATACAGTTTTACGACCTTAAATAGGTAGGAATAGGTTTAATATAGTAGTATTTGTTAGATAGCTAGCGTTTCAAATTTGAACAAAATCAGTTAACAGACGCTATCTAGTTCAATTACATATCAGAGGTCATAGAGACAAGAAGTGACACTAGAGTAGCCAGGAAACTGGCATTACTCATTTGGATTGGGGAACTACAAGACCAACAAAGCTTTCCTAAATACCAAGGATATTTACTAGTATCCAAACGAGCCCTGAAGACTAGACACTCGTTCCTGACAGTATAATTGGTCAATCTTTCTGCGGGAACATGAGTTGAACGTTCATGGGTTATCGAGGCAGGCGGAGAAACACTGGAAGTTCGCCACTAATGAGGTACTGAGAGTAAAGACATATATTACTCCGTCATTTCAAGTAAGTTGACTTTGCTGTTTTACAGTTAGGAATTACACAACACCGTAGTTACGTGGAATTTTGTTGCATGAGCCACTGGTGTGCCTGAGATATTAACTTGGGTTGTCTGTGTCAACAGCTTTTGCAAATTTTGCAGCATACTAGGAGGCAGTACGCACAGAAATTTCCAAAATGGTATTTCCGAACCCGGATGTGGTATAGCTGGTTTAGCAGCTATACCACAGGCAGACCAGAGTAGGCTAGTTAGCTTGTAAATCCATTTACAGTAATTTATAGGGAGGCCAGAGTAGGTTAGTTAGCTTGTAAATCCATTTTCAGTAATTTACAGGCTGGCCAGGTAGACTAGTCAAGTTTGTAAATTTAATTTATTTTCAATGAATTACAAGCCAGATTTACACTATAGTTATACACTGATTTCAACAGTTATAAAGTTAGGCTAGGATTTACTTATCCAACTAACCACATTGAATTAAGCTAGGCACAGTTAGGCCAAGCTATTTACACAGCATTATTACTTACTGATTCATACGTTGAATTACTGAATTTATTTGTAAAGAAAATCGTTAAGCTTATCGAAGAGCATCAAGACTCATTTGTTCTCACCAAATTCCGTATTGTGCTGTGAGGTGGGCCAATTAAAGTACAAATTAGGGTCGTACTCTTAATTAAACCACAATAATGGCAGATGAGAATCAAACAGGGTCTGGTTCAGTGTTAAGATCAAAACGATCCCTGGAGTTTACCTGGAGAGAGTTCCGGGGGTCAACACCCCCGCGGCCCAGTCTGTGACCAGGCCTCCTGGTGTCTGCATGCAAAGGACGTTTGAACAGAACACGCAACAGGTGTAAGGCTACTAGTCAATGCAGTAATGTAGACTGTGATGATCTGCAAGACTGCTTGAAGCTTTTAGGGGAAAAATGGGAAGCCTACGAGCAAGCATTCTCAGTATATGGGCAACAGACTACACTTGACCCTCGACCAACGTTATTAATCCGTTCCTGAGAGCTCATCGTTAGTCAAAATTATCGTTAGTCGAGTTAATTTTCCCCATAAGAAATAATGGAATTCAAATTAATCCATTCCTGACACCCCAAAGTATTGAAAAAAAAATTTTACCACATGAAATATTAATTTTAATATACACAAACTGAAGAAGACATGTACAATTACATGACACTTACCTTTATTGAAGATCTGGTGATGATTGATGGGATGGGAGGAGGGGAGAGTGTGGATGGTGTTAGTGTTTAGAAGGGGAATCCCCTTCCATTAGGACTTGAGGTGTCAAGTCCTTTTCTGGAGTTACTTCCCTTCTTCTTTTAATGCCACTAGGACCAGCTTGAGAGTCACTGGACCTCTGTCGCACAACATATCTGTCCATAGAGGCCTGTACCTCCCGTTCCTTTATGACATTCCTGAAGTGTTTCACAACATTGTCAGTGTAATAGTCACCAGCACGGCTTGCAATAGCTGTGTGAGGGAGATTTTCATCAAAAAAGGTTTGCACTCTAAGCCACATTGCACACATTTCCTTAATCTTTGAAGTAGGCACAATGGATTCCACAACTGGCATAGGCATCTCAGGGTTAGCCCTAAACCCTTCAAAATCTTTCTTAATTTCCATACTAATTCTCACCCTTTTTATCACAGGGTTGGCACTAGAAGCTTTCTTGGGGCCCATGGTGACTTATTTTGCAGGTGCAATCACTAAAAACGCTGTGATAATATGAAATGTTCCGATTGTATGTTTGGATGCGACCACGGTGGCTGGCTTGTAAACACTGGCACCCACAGGACAAGTGAGGCGCGCTCAGCGTTGGTCGAGTTTTTTAGCGCTAGTTGAGGCAAAATTTTTGCATTAAAATGTATCACTAGTCAGATTTAACGTTATACAATGCCATCGTTGGTCGAGGGTCCACTGTATTGAGGAGGATGAACCCCAGGACAGTCTCAAGCAAAGCTCAGGATGAATTCTTCAAAGATGACGAGGATTGTCACGAGAAGATGAATGCGTACAAGGATAAAGTAAATGCGTTAAAGACTAGTATGCAAGTACCACGAGCAGCCACACGCCTGTTAATGTGTTGCCCAGATTGCCCCAATTGAATTTACCAATGTTTCATGGAACTTTGACAGAGTACATTGTCTTCTGAGATCAGTTCAAGGCCCAGATAGATGACAGAAATGACTTGTTGAATGCCATCAAATTACAGTACTTATGATCACAGTTCAAGGGTAAAACCCTAGACTTGGTCTGGCACTACCAGACCACTGACACTAATTACCAACTTGCCACGAATCAATTAAAGGACATGTTTATCAACATTGAAGAGATAAAAGTATCAGTTGCTGGATATGGAGGCTTGCCAGCATGACTGTTGGAGCTTAGAGAAGTTCCGTATTGAGGTGATGAGTTTGACAAGTAGTCTCAAGGATTTACACAATGGGGGTAAATAAGAATGATTCATCAGTCAGGCGATTCAGAGAAAACTGGCTTGCATTACAGTGCACGAGTTATATTTGAAATACCAGATGAACTGGTTTACAACACAACAGATTATTGAGGGGTTGGGAGATCTCATTTCTCATTTGAGTATAGGTGTGAGAGAGAAGAGTCACCACCACTACCCAGTAAGAAGACAGATAGTTGGTCAGAAAACTCGGGAGATCACTCTAAAGCTCATAAGACTAACGTTGGAGTGTATTATGACCAAGAAGTGCCTAATGCAAGGGCCTCTAAGCAGAACCTAAGAGGCACTCGTACTAGAACATGCATGTTCTGCGAAGGTGAACACACTAGCACGAGTTGCTCTAAGAGATTAAAGAAGTTGCAGCTATGCTTAAGGTACTGTGGGGGACACATCTTTGGGAGTGCTATAACTGCCTGAAAGATAAGCACCATACTGCACTATGTCCCAATAATTTAAGGGAACCCCAGGCTAGTAGGGATGTTTCACCGGTAGAAATAGAAAGCGAATCCAAGACTGAGGTGGTGGCCAACGTGATCAGTGTGGGTGAAGTCTCTAATCCGAGTGAGAATTACAGAGGTGCTGCCCTACCTACAGTCATGGCAGGAGTTGTGAACGGGAACAGGTCTGAATCAACCCTATTATTCTTTGACTCGGGAGCACAAGTGTTCATGATAACAGAGAAGTTGGTGACTAAATTAAAGTTGAAGGCCACCAGTAGAATTAGTATGGCATTGGGAGGAGCTGTAAGTCAGGTCCCACCCAAATCTTACGATGTTGTGGATGTCACAATTAAATTAGGTGGACATGGCAGACATATTACAGCCTTGGTAGTAAAGATGCTACCCATGGCAACTACATCTAGAGGTCTTACTGCACCAGCCAGGCAGTTGAAAAACCTTGGCGTGAAGCTGGCAGATCAGGGGATTACCACTGACACAGTCATAAATGTAGGTATCCTGGTAGGAGCTGGTCAGATAGATGACTTCCTGTCCACATGATGGACTATTAAGGAAGGAATTGGTTTATACAGATCCCCAGTAGGATACATCATTGGCAGCAAGATTCCACATGAATTCCCTGAAATGCCAGAGAGGGAGGAAACTGACACCATGATAGCTGAGGGAGCAGCTATATTAGTACACACGATGAATTGCCAGGAAAGCCAAACCAAGTAGAGCATGATGAGCACTCAGCCTCCTAGAGAAAACACTTTTATAGGGTACCTAAAATGGGAGATAGACTGTTATTAAACTTAGAGAACCTCATATCAGTGGGAAGAAAGGCTACCGGGGCATGCGGGTAGCTAGGTGGGAAAGTACAGAGCCACTCGGACAAGGCTAGACATGCTAAAGACTTTAAAGTTAAAGGTAAGGGTGTTAAGACCACCAGAACTGACAAGTTTCCACCCCCAGAGATCCACACAATGGAAACTGGACAGTTGAAGTTAGACCATAGTCTGCTCAACAAGAGTGGCCGGACGGCACTCGTGTCCAGGACCCCCTGTGGGGGCTCACGGAAGGTGAACTTGATGTAGACTTAATGTCTACCTTTTGTCAGCGGGAGAATGTGGAAACTTATTTTGGGCTATCAAAATATTCCATGAAACATTTCACAGTACTTGAGCTTTAAGAGCCCTTAATATACCCACTTACATAACATTTGTACATAATATTTGTCCTAGGAAGATTTACGTAATTATACAAAGTAGAAAATAACTGTATGAATTATTAATACAGTTTTAGGACCTAAAATAGGTAGGAATAGGTCTAATATAGTAGTATTAATTAGATAGCTAGCGTTTCAAATTCGAACGAAATCAACTAACAGAGACAAGAAGTGACACTTGAATAGCCAGGAAACCAGCATTACTCACTTGGTTTGGGGAACTACAAGATCAATGAAGCTTTCCCAAGTTCCGAGGATACTTACTAGTATCCAGATGAGCCCTGAGGACTAGACACTTGTTCCTAACAGCATAATTGGCCAATCTTTCTGCTGAACATGAATTGAACGTGTGCGGGTTATCGAGGCAGGCAGAGAAACACTGGAAGTTTGCCACTAATGAGGTACTGAGAGTAAGAATGCATATTACTCCGCATTTTCAAGTGAGTTGACTTTGCCGTTGTACAGTTAGGAATTACACAACACTGTAGTTATGTGGAATTTTGTTGCATGAGCCATTGGTGTACCTGAGATATTAACTTGGGTTGTCTGTGCCAACAGCTTTTGCAAACTTTGTAGCACACTAGGAGGCAGTATGCACAGAAATTTCCGAACAAGGTATGTCTTGCTCTACAGTCTCTCTCAAGGTCTGTCTTGCTCTTCAGTCTCTCTCAAGGTATGTCTCATTCTGCACTCTCTCCCAAGGTATGTCTCACTGTGCAGTCTTTCCCAAGGTATGTCTCACTCTGCAATCTCTCTCAAGGTCCATCTTGCTCTACAGTCTCTCTCAAGGTATGTCTCACTCTGCACTCTCTCCCAAGGTAAGTCTCAGTGCACAGTCTTTCCCAAGGTATGTCTCACTCTACAGTATCTCTAAAGGTATGTCTCACTTTACAGTGTCTCTCAAGGTGTGTCTCACTCTGCAGTCTCTCCCAATGTATGTCTCAGTGTACAGTCTTTCCCAAGGTATGTCTCACTCTACAGTATCTCTTAAGGTATATCTCACTTTACAGTGTCTCTCAAGGTATGTCTCACTCTGCAGTCTCTTCCAAAGTATGTCTCACTCTACAGTCTCTCCCAAGGTATGTCTCACTCTACATTCTCTCTCAAGGTATGTCTCACTACAGTCTCTCTCAAGGTATGTCTCACTCTTCAGTCTCTCCCAAAATATGTCTCACTCTGCTGTCTCTCCCAGGGTATGTCTCAACAATCACTCTCAAGGTGGGTCTCACTCTGCAGTCTCTCTTAAGGTATGTCTCACTTTGCAGTCTCTCCCAAGATATGTCTCACTCTACAGTCTATCCAAGGGTATGTCTCTACAGTCTCCCTCAAGGTAGGTCTCACTCTGCAGTCTCTCCCAAGGTAGGTCTCACTCTACAGTCTCTCCCAAGGTATGGCTCACTCTGGTCTCTCCTAGGGTATGTCTCACTCTAGTCTCTCCCAAGGTATATCTTACTCTACAGTTGCTCGAGGTATATCTTACTACAGTCTCTCCCAAGGTATGGCTCACTCTGGTCTCTCCTAGGGTATGTCTCACTCTAGTCTCTCCCAAGGTATATCTTACTCTACAGTTGCTCGAGGTATATCTTACTACAGTCTCTCCCAAGGTATGGCTCACTCTGGTCTCTCCTAGGGTATGTCTCACTCTAGTCTCTCCCAAGGTATATCTTACTCTACAGTTGCTCGAGGTATATCTTACTACAGTCTCTCCCAAGGTATGTCTCCATTCTAAAGTCTCTTCCAATGTGTACATTACTACATGAATCTAAAAGTTTTTTGCCACGTGTTGGAAAAATAGTATGCAATAATATGTTTAGTTTGGTAAGATTAATGTGAAATTATATATTTTACTAATTTTATTCTTTTAATTTTTATAAATAATTTTGAAGTGTATATAAATTCTGAAGGAGGGGTGTTAATGTTGCAGTTCTATAACTGTAATGTTAAGCACCCCTCTGGCAAGACAGTGATGGAGTGAATGATGATGAAAGTTTTTCTTTTTTGGGCCACCCCTGCCTTGGTGGGAATCTGCTGTTTTTTTTTTTTTTTCCAACAAGTCGGCCGTCTCCCACCGAGGCAGGGTGATGTGTTAATAAAAATAATAAAAAAAAGTAAATTCTGTGGTTTGTCAGTGAAAAAAATATGAAAGTTTTAGCATATCATACTACTCATTGGCCATGGACACTTGAAATCTTATGTTTTCTCTATAGACCCTGGCTGAGTATTCAAACACTCAGACTCTACAGTACATTAGGTAAATTAGAGACCTGATAAATACTTTATTACCTTCGGCAGATTCTTGTACGGAAGATTTCAACACTGAAGAAGACCCTGTTATATCTGACTTGCTTAGAGTTCAAGTGAGTGATCTGACACGTTCTGACTGTGAGGACGTGAATAATCTCTCTGATTACATAGCAACAGCCTTAACTCTAGCAGAGAAGTGTATAAAAAAAAATGAAAGGTCTAAGGAGAATTGTTTAGATATCTTTTTGAATTCAGGTCTCAGTGATTCAGAATTTGAGGATCCAGCAAAGAATTCCTGCAGTATTACTTGCAATGATAATGAAGTTAATTGTGATAAAAATACTTATGGTGGAAACAAGGAAAAACCTAATAGTGTTGCTAAGCATTCAGGCATTGATGTAAGCTGCAATGCTGCAAGTAGTAAGACGAATATTAATAGTGATAAAAATGATAATGTTTTTGATATTAGTGATAAAATAAAGGTTGATAAAAATAGTGTGATAAGTGACACAGCCACACAAGAAAAGGAGGCAGGTCCTCAGGAAATGAACAAGACTCAGCAAGGTGGAGGGCCTGGTTTCAGAGCTTCTCCCATCTTCAGTTGTACAGTTGATGTTGAAGGTACTCAGGATTTGATCATGTTTGGTGGTGGTCTTGGAAGGGGTCTTGGGCAGTCCCCTTTAGCACCCCAGCCATTAGGGTCTATTTCGTCACTGGCTAGACCTGCTGCCCTGGGCAGAACTTCTCTAGGTGAGCTACCCCTTGGAGGACCTAAAGTACCTCCAGTAGGTGGTCACCTAACACCTTTAGCACCTATTGCTGCAGCCAACAAAGGTGGCCCTACCCAGCTGGTGAGTACCCTATCTTCAACTGTATCTTGACTTCTTTTACACAAATTACTAAAACTGTTTTACACGCTTTTTACTGCAATTAGGAAATTTCTTTAGCTTCTATGTAAGCAATACTTTTTCTTAAAGGTTTATACACCCTCCCAGTCATCCAGTTTTGCTCCAGCCTTTGTAAATGACCAAACCATCTCAACAACCCCTCTTCAGCTCTCTGAATAATACTTTTAGTATCTCCACACCTCCTAATTTCCACCGTAAATTCTCTGCATAATATTTACACCACACATTGCCCTTGGGCATGACATCTCCACTGCCTACAGCCCCCTTCTTGCTGCATCATTTACAACCCATGCTTCACATCCATATAAGAGTGTTGGTACAGGTCGGCCATCACTAATCCGGCAATCAGTAATCCTGTTCCATCAGTAATCTGGCACTAATTTCGGCTAGCATAATTTCAGATTTCTGGGTTTGCCACATCAACCTGCTGCTACTGCTTGGTGGTGCTACTTGCTGCACAAGTCATTCCAATTTCTTTTTCTCCATTTATTGTAATAACCTGCTCATGTTTAGCCCTAGCGCCATGGTTCCAACGAATAAAAGAAATGCTTCTCATTGTGTAAAGCACATACACTGTACATTATCCAAAAAAGATAAGGTGGCTTTAACCACTGCCAGTCACCATGAGCTCAGCTCACTCAGATAAGCTCTGACCAGTAAATCTGGGCCTACACATGAGAGAATAGGTCTTTGTGGTAAGTGTGCAGTATATAAAGAAAATCCTACAGCACACACAGCACACACAGCACACAGTGCATAATGAGAAAAAACTGTGACTGTGGTGTAAAGCAGTGACTTTGCGGTGTATTTTCGTATGGTTTTTATGGTTGTATTCTCATTTTTTTGGTCTCATTTATATAATGGGAGATATATTACAGAAATAGATATGATTTTGATTGGTTTCATGATGAAAAATACCTTGAAATGAGCTCAAAGTAGCAGAAATGTTTAATTTTTGCAGACATTCAAGAGTAAACATATGACGTCACTGTCCAATATGTGTCCAACTGACCAGTCTAATACGTAGTCACAAATGGGTTGACATTAGTTATACAATTATTACAATAATACAGTAGTCTGCATAACAGTAAATCTTCTATTTTTTGTGTGAATAAAAATTCAAAATGGAAAGCAAGAGTAATATAAGAGGAGCTGGAACATGAGAAAATGTTATTTTAGTGCCAGGAATGTCTGCTTTGTTTATTCTGGACCCTATTTTGAAATTGGCATCTTCCAAAATTTATGTGAAATTGGCCAAATTACCAATTTATGACCACTTTATTAGGTAGTTGAAATAGTTAAATGGGTGCTTTCTTGTACTCAGTTGACATAATAGAAGGAATACAGTACAGTGGACCCTAGCCTAACGAACGCATCGCATAACGTTAAATCCGCCTAACTATACATTTTAACGCAAAATTTTTGCCTCGGCTAGAGCTAAAAAACTCGCCTAGCGCGATTCGTTCCGTTTGAGACGCGTCCACGTGTGGCCTGAGCGCGCCTCACTTGTCCCATGGGTGCCAGTGTTTACAAGCCAGCCACCGCGGTCGCATCCAAACATACAATCGGAACATTTCATATTATCACAGCGTTTTTAGTGATTGCACCTGCAAAATAAGTCACCATGGGCCCCAAGAAAGCTTCTAGTGCCAACCCTATGATAAAAAGGGTGAGAATTAGTATGGAAATTAAGAAAGATTTTGAAGGGTTTGGGGCTAACCCTGAGATGCCTATGCCAGTTGTGGAATCCATTGTGCCTACTTCAAAGATTAAGGAAATGTGTGCAAAGTGGGTTGAACTGCAAACCTTTATGGATGAAAATCACCCTAACACAGCTATTGCAAGCCATGCTGGTGACTATTGCAATGACAATGTTATGGCCCATTTTAGACAAATCTTAAAGGAACGGGAGGTACAGAGCTCTGTGGACAGATATGTTGTGCGACAGAGGTCCAGTGACTCTCAAGCTGGTCCTAGTGGCATTAAAAGAAGAAGGGAAGTAACCCCAGAAAAGGACTTGACACCTCAAGTCCTAATGGAAGGGGATTCCCCTTCTAAACATTAACACCATCCAAACATTCCCCTCCTCCCTTCCCATCAGTCATCACCAGATCTTCAATAAAGGTAAGTGTCATGTAATTGTACATGTCTTCTTCAGTTTGTGTGTATTAAAATTAATATTTCATGTGGTAAAATTTTTTTTTTCATACTTTGGGGTGTCAGGAATGGATTAATTTGATTTCCATTATTTCTTATGGGGAAAATTAATTTGGCTAACGATAATTTCGCCTAACGTTGAGCTCTCAGGAATGGATTAATATCGTTAGATGAGGGTCCACTGTACTAGCAAAATAGCTATGAGTTTGGTAGACTGGAACAATGGAATGGGCCAAAAACAGGGCATATATTGGGTGAAATCACCGATGCATAAATATCACCATTGGGTTAAATGTACATATTCTAAACTAACCACTCTGTAATCCGGCATAATCACTAATCCGACACCCTACAGGTCCCGATGATACCAGATTAGTGATGACCAACCTGTATACATATTTATCCTCTCTTTTCTTAAAATGTGTACATATTACTTATTACCAAGCCTCTTTCTATACATAGTTCAATTAAAGGTCCCCCCCCCCTATTTTCATTTACCTCTGGCACCCTGTTGGCCTGTATATCGCAGAGTCACTTGTTTGCACAGAACTGCTTAATGCCTCAAATGATGTAGTGGAAGTTTTAGCAGTAAAGATTGAGAACCAAAACCTCCCAGCAATTCCAGGAACAGCTGTTAAAAATTGACCAATGTCTGGAAAATCTGCCAGCTCCTGCCCCCAACATCTTGCTCCTGGGGGATTTCAACTTGAGGCACCTAAAATGGATGAATATAGCAAATAATGTTGTTGCAGTGATAATACCAGGAGGCAACTCTGACGAGAACTCACACACACACACACGAGCTTTTAAATCTCTGCACAAAATTCAGCTTAACCCTTTCAGGGTTCAAGGCCAAAATTGGAAGGGGTGCCCCAGTGTCCAAGAAATTTTGAAAAAAAAAAATTATTTTTTTTCTTACAGAATTAAAGAGTATATTTTTGTGAAGGTAATAAAGCAAAACAAAAAAAAATTTCTGATCAGTACTTACCGAGATACAGTGCCGAGAAGTTGACCCAAAATGACCGGGTGGTGGCAACATCTATGATTTCCACATACGCGCATTACGTTATTTTACGTTTTTTATAGTTTTTTCTTTTCTTTTCTAATTTTTTCTTTTCCTACTAACATCTGGGGCCTGAGAGACCAATACTGTATATAATGTATATATGTAAACTCACTGTATTGAACAAAATAACCGCACTAAAGTTATCATATTATTGTTGATCACTTTTGTTTATTATAATAAACAAGCACAAATCTTGTATAATACTAATGTTCTATCATATATTTACATATTTACAATTACTGGACATGTTTTTAGAACTGCTGGAGCTTGTGGAGCTCCTTGAAACAAGGCACCATGCACAGAAGTACCTTACATTCCTCACACATAAACCACGTCTTTGTTGCCATCATTTTGTTTGTGCACAGACAATGCATCTCTTCTGAGCAAATTTCTTCTTAGTTGCAGGAAGCTGTATTATGAAATGATCACCTTCCCTCCTCAAACGCTTGGGTATATCCTGAGGAGTTCGAGGATGTTGTTGTATAGCAGGTGTTGTTACCTGGTACTTCATTATGAGTTGTCTGACAACAGACAAACAAAATTCACCATACGGTGGTCTGTTGCCAGTCTTCACTTGGTACATATTATATACATTGAGCATTGAAATGTCCATGAGATGGAAGAAAAGTTTCATGTACCGCTTGTAACTCTTACAAACACAATCAACAAAGCCAATCTGCATGTCACATTTGTCAACCAAGCGCATGTTTTGTGTATAATCAATCACTGTCACTAGTTTTTGAATATGTTCATTAGTCATTCTATCAACTTTGCCACTGTCTTGCATTTCGTTACGGTGAATGGTTGTCAACAATGTGACATCTCGTTTGTCATGCCACCATAATGCCATGATGTCATTTTCAGTAAACACCTGCACCTCATCACCACGAGCACCTGCGTTGAACCTGGGCATATATTACGATTAGAACGCACTGTGCCACACACATCTGTCTTGTTCACTCGCAAGAAATCACTGAGTAAAAGGCTTGTGTACCAGTTATCGGTATATAATGAATGCCCCTTACCAAGATAAGGTGCCATCATGCTTCTCACTACGTCACCTGAGATACCCAATAACTTCCTGGTATCTTTCAATGTTTTTACTTCCCGTGTATACAACAATATCCAATACCAGGCCACTGTCACAGTCACAGAGTACAAACAGTTTTATACGAAAGCGTTTACTCTTGCTCGGTATATACTGTTTGAATGACAGTCTACCTTTGAACAAAATCAAAGAGTCGTCAAGTACAAGATTCTTGAATGGATAAAAGTACATGGTGAACTTTTCTTTCAGATACATAAAAACATTTCTAATCTTGTATAACCTGTCACTTCTGTCAGGCCTGGTTTTGTTAGAGAAGTGTAACATACGTAAAAGTAAGATAAACCTGTTCACTGGGATGATTTCACTGTAGACCGGGGTACAAATTAGCTGATCTGTGGACCAGTATGCTTTTATTTTATGATTGTAGACATGAGGCATAAGCATTATTGTTGCAGAAAGCAAATACATTTGTGCAACAGTCATCTCTTTCCACCGGTGTAGTCTTGACTGTGGTGATATCATTGTATTTGCCATGGTGTACTCAAAATACTTGTTAATTTCCCTGACAATAGTTTCCATCAATGGCTGGTCAAAGAATAATTCAAAAATTCCAGTTCATTGGCAGTGGTTCCAAGGGGACAAGTAGGTAGATTTCCACTTTGAGAGTCATCA